CAGCAAAAAAGCAAAAAATATAAAAAATGAGTAAAGGACCTGAATTGACATTTCTCAAAAGAAGACCTACAAATGCCAACAGGTGTATAAAAAATGCTAAAATTATTTTCCTATTTGATACTGATTATAATTAAAAGTACTTGTATATTTCAAGTGATAGAAAAGATTTCAATATATAATGCCTATAAGTTGATTTTTTGATCCAGATTTTTATACACTACTTCATAATGTTTGAATGAGAATATCCTGATTTTAGCAGTTAACACAGTAGACTGAGGTGCCTGGTAACACTACATGTCACTACTTGATTGGAAAAGAATGTTACTGATTATACTCATGTTTGTCTTGAATTGCTTAACTGTTACTGCCAATGCCAGGCTTATTAAATCACATAGATGCCAAGGTGTCTCTACCATCACTGGTCATATACAAGGTCAATGATGTTACTAATGAGTGAAAAGGAAACTGTGGGTTCTTAATTTCTCCCAGGCAAACACCAACATGTAGCGAAGAAACCACTAAACACTGAAGTCCATCCTCAATTGGGGTGTATTCCTAAAAGCTATCTAGCCATTATCTAGATATCTCAACAACTTTTGAATTACTTACTCATTTAAATATTTTACAGGTTTTGTTCTTACATTATATTTGCACCTCATCAAGCTTAATATCACTTCATCCTGAACAGCTGTCAAAAAGCTTCGTAATTTCCCTAGGTGTCATGACATCCTACTTTTGGTAAGAGCATACTACTATGAGCAACACTGAGTAGCTACTTTTCAGGGAGCTCTGTGAATGAGGCTGTAGCCCCCTGTAGCTACTGGCCGAATAAAAAGACACTTCCTTTCTCAGTTCTGTGTTTGAAAGGTTTGCTTCTTGCTGCCCCTGCTTCAACCCCCCATGATGCATGTTTATCTATGTAACAAACTGCATATCCTACACATGTACCTCTGAACTTAAGTGAAATAAATCAAAAGAATTTATTGCTCATAGTTCTAAAGACTAGAAGGATGAGATCAATGTGCTGGTGAGGACCCTTTTCTGGACTGCAAACTACCTACATCTTATTGGATTTTCACATGGCAGGAAGAGGGCTAACTAGCTATCTGGCTTCATTATAAGAGCACAAATCCAACTGACGAGGGTTCCACCTTCATATTCTAATTACCTCTCAAAGACCTCCAACTCCATATACCATCCATTGGGGTTAGGGTTTAAACATACAAATGTGTTGAGGTGGGATGAATATTCAGTTTATTGCCCAGGGATAATGGCTTCGTATACAGACTAAATGGGCTTTCTAGTCCTTTCTGCACAAATTCAAATTATTTATGTAAGTTTCCTTGGTGAGACAAAGTATATTTCACAATGTATAAGATCTTGACAAAAATAAATCTTTCCGAATAAACTGAAAATAAATGGCACAACCAGGCAACCATGTCTGACTAGAGGTCAGAAAGATGAGTTTAAAAGTCGGGTAAACAAGAACATTGATTCCCACTGACATATATACCTTCTTATTTGACAATATTGTAACATTGATTTAACTTAATATTATAACTTCTTGAACGTGTTTTCCTGCCTAACAATGACAACACTGATTTCTATTTTTTTTCTCACGTATATGCTATTCTCTCCTGTTTTTGTTTCTCTTTTACTTAAGATGTCCTATTTTTCAAAATTATATTTTCAGAAATTTTATGTTGTCACTCTACATACATTTCCATCCATAAGTAACTTGAGAATAATAACAGTTTTAGTATCATATACTCTTTGGGAAGATTAAATGAGAATTTAGAAGTTTTTCTAATAAAAATCACTAGAAAAGTTAGAGCTATATTTTTGTTATCACTTGGTTGCACTTACAGCTTTTTTACAGTAGTTAATAAAATGTCTTTAACTATCCCTAGCTCTATCTAGGCTTCAACAAGAGAGAGGAGTCTATAATAACATTAGGCTTTTAGAAAATTAAACTGAGATATGATGCCTCAAAATAATTCTATTTCTTTGATATGAAACCTCAAAGTTTAATCTTCCATGTTATATCAGTTTAATTCTCATTCCAGGGAAATCTTGCAAAGATTGGGTTGACTCAGGCTGGTGGAAATATCTAAGAGAGGATCTCTTAGATCTTAGATTTCTAAGACATCCTCTCTTAGATATTTCTAAGTGGGTTTCATTTGAAGAATGAGAAAACTGAGGGCACAGGACTTGCTCTAATAACAGGGTTTATGAAAGAAAAAATATTCCGATAGTTGTTAAAATGGTAAGGTTTATTCAGAACTATTTTGATACATGTCAGGACTATTGAAATGACAGAGAGAGGATGGGCTCAACACAAACACCACAAAGTATGCTCGGGATTTATAGCCAAGAAGCAGAGAGAGGGGTTCAGTGGATGGAAAATGACTAAGGGGGGACATTAACGGCAGTGGGACTCTCGCTCAGGTAACTTGGCAGGATGATCAGGCATGAATGAGGGGATGAGGAACCTGATTAACTATGGAGGGCGATTGGATACCAAGAGCTCTGGGATTCTCATTAAACTGACTTAGAAGGATGCATGCTTCAATTGTACCAGGCAGGTCAAAGACAGGGCCCAAGGACATGGCCTCGTCAAAAAGAGAGCACAGAGACACTGTCTAAAGTTTGGTTAAAGAGAAAGTTACAGACATCTGTCTCTCCTCTAAACAATATAAGACCGTTTCTCATTTGGTTGCCTTTCGTTCATTAAAGACCAACTGAGCCATCTGTTGAGACTTGGCAGTACAGCATATTTGTTAGATGGTTCACGAAATCATACATTTTATAAAATATAAACAGGCCAAGTATGGTGGCTTGCCTGTGTAATCCCAGTACTTTGGGAGGCTAATGAGGGAGGATCACTTGAGGCTAGCATTTCAAGGTTAGATTGAGCTATGATTGTGCCACTGCACTCCATCCTGGGTCATAGAGTAAGACACTGTCTCTAAAAAAAATGAGAGAGAGAGAGAGAGAGAGATAGAGAGAGAAAGAGAGAGAGAATGAATAATTGGTGTAGTAGTATTTAAACCCTGGAAAGCCAGTCAAGATCTCTAGATGTTGGGCTCAAAGCATCTTTCAAAGTTAGAATGAGGATGACCGTGGCAGGTGGCAGTCCAGTGGATTTCCTAGTTTGCAGTTTGGGTGGCTTTGGTCATGGCATGGATATTATATGATTTCTCAGCACCTGGTAGAGTGCCTGCACAGGGACTGTGCAGTTAACATTTGCTGAACTCCACAGAACTGGGGATGGGATGGAGAAAAGAGCAGAGCCCCTCAGGAGAGGGAGGTAAAGTTGAGATAAAGAAGTTTGAGATGCTCTAGACACCCTTTGCTTACTTCACCTTTTATCTGGCATTGGTCTTGAGCATTCACATGCAAAGCAAGAGAAGGAAAAGGAAGAGGCCTGGAGTGAGGATAATGCGTGGAGCTCATCCTCATGAAATTCTTCTCTGGTTGCTGTTCCCATAAGGTTATGTGATCCCTGAGCACAGGAACTGTGCTCCTGGATCATGATACCAGTGCCCAGCCCATAGTGGGGGTTTCCCATTTTATTATAAGAGTAAAGGAGCACCTGGCCTACATGGCAAAACCCCGTCTCTATTAAAAATATAAAAAATAGCTGGGCGTGGTGGCGGGTGTCTGTAATCCCAGCTACTCAGGGGGCTGAGGCAGGAGAATCATTTGAACCCAGGAGGCCAAGGTTGCAATGAGCTGAGATCGTGCTATTGCACTCCAGCCTGGGCAAGAACAGCAAAACTCCGTTTCAAATAAATAAATAAATAAATACCCACCTCCCAGATCGGTGACTTGTTCCACCCTACAATGACCAGGGAGGATGGTGTGGTGAATCCAGCTGTACAGGTGAGAACATGAGCTGGGAGCTCTGACTTACCCACACCCTCCCAGCAGCAGGTGTGAGAGCTGGGGTCACACAGTTGATTCAGTGACATAGGGGAAAAGTGGAAGAAGGAAAGGGGCAGAAAGGGAAGAACAACTCAGGAAAATTAAGGAAAGGCAGAGGAGAAATTAACCGACTTGAAAAATAAATGGGACAAGTGCATCGGAGTGTATTTTGGCACTTTTCTATCTCATTTTTATACTACTTCCTTTTTTCAGCTTAATCAGTTTATGATGGAATGTTTCACGGGTTTACATCATAAGTTTCCTACTATTGTCTCTAGAGTTTTCATAAAAATACAGTAATTATTAGCATGCATTAGATTCATTTTAATGCACATACTGCTATAGCCAGCTCACTCCATTTCCAGATATTATATAAAATGTTGCAAGCCAGGATGGTCAAAAATATAAGGAGAATTCAGAAACCACATGTGTTTTTGATATTTCCTGGAGTGGCCAATACAGCTCACGGTGTGTCACCTTTACAGCATCAAACGGCCCCCTCGCATTTGTCACTTGATGTGTGACAGTGCTTAATCCTCCTCCAGGCAATTCTCCTTTGTAAAGCTTTCTTTGAATGAGCCAGGAATTCTGGCCATCAAGCCGCAAACTCTCACTAAAATTTCCAAAAGATTCAAAAGTGTGATGTGAAGTCCTATAATCTTATTTCAGCCTAATGTTTATAGCACTCTAGGGAATTCAGATGCTCTCTTTGGACGCGGAAAAGGCGGGAGGAAAAGGCGGGACTGCTAACTCAGAAACAGGACGTCATTTCCCGGAGCATGTTTAATGTCACTAAAAATAAAAGTGAAGCAATCGTGTCTACCTTAGCACGAAGAGAAGGGCAGTTGGTCGTCTGGCTTCTTGGTGACTGGCCTGTCCTGGAAATCCCACCTGGGCCACAGGCCCGACGGGCTGAGGATCTAGTCTTCTGGGAACGGGACTTGCCAGGCTCTGGGACTCAGCCTCAGGCTCGGAAGGCGGCGCTCAAAGCTCTCTGCCTCGGCTTAGAGGCTGAGTGGGAGGAGAGGCCTGGCGGGCGTGGGGCGGGGCTCTTCCGCTAACGGTTACCAGTCGCCACTGCGGCTGCGCGGCTCCCCTGGCGCGGCAGAGGCGCGCGCCTGCGCTGTGAGGATCCCGCCCTCGAGCCGCCTGGAGCCTCCTGGAGGGACTGGGCGGCCCTGACGAGGCGCGGGCGTTTGGGGTACATGCGAGCCTCACGACGCCCGCGACTGGGGACAGGGAATCTGGGCCGGGCTGGAACCAGGCCCGCGCGGGAGGGCGCGCTGGGCGGACGCTGGTGTCGCAGGGACCACCCGCCCTAGTCCCGGAGGCCCCTTCGCGTTCCACACAGGTGAGTGCGCTCTCCTGAGGGGAACTGAGGCGGGGCCGGCTACCACAGTGGTTTTCCGTGACTCGCCCTCAACAGTGTGTCCCCTCAGCCCCCACTTTCTGGAATCAAGATGATTTTCCACGGCATTCTAGTCAGAGAAGGTCTCTGAGACATATGGAAAAGATGACTTAATGGTTACTCATATTTTTTTATTTATGTTGTACATTTAACTGGAATACTGGTAAATAGCTTTATCTTTTATATCTTGGAGTTTTTCCCATTTTTGAATCAGAAATTTAGGATGAAGACTCTTTGGCCATAATTTAATATAGAACCTATTACTTTGAGGAGTAAACTTATGTTAACGGTGCTAAACCGCACATGAACGACTTGGTAGAGGAAAATTGAAAAATAGGACATTTCATGTCGTCATATGTACCCTCCAGCACTGGGGAAAGTTCAGCAGTTGTCTTAAAGTGGGAGTTTAATTGAAGACATTTACTGAAAACTGACTTACTCTTTTTGAAATTTCTCTTCTGATAACTTCCCAGGATAAAGAACATCAGGATGTGAGAGCCAAGTGCATGTCCACGGAGTGCTTGAGCCACGCGGAATGGCGTTTCAGTGCTGGGTTCCGTAGACGCTGTGCAGACCCTGCTGAGTCTTCAGCACCTGTGAGTGAGTCCCCCAGTATCACCTTGGCTTCCCTTGGGTAGATCAGTCTTCTGGCCTTTTGTTCTCTTTGACACAGATTTCTGATTAATCTCTTTTCCTGCTCCTCCAGAGATGGTTCAGGGCTCCCTGTGAGCTCCCCAAGGCATTTACTGACTTCTGACATTTACTTGGAGAACTTTAGGCTGCAAAGGAGCAAAGTTTGCCATTGTCATCTATTTTTCGGTGTCTGCCCCCATGTCTTGACCTTCCTCTGGAATCTCCTCTTCTGGTTCTTTACCCACCTCTTTGATTCCTCCTGTGTTTTTTTGTCAACGTGTCCTCTATATGTCACACTCAGAGGCTCAGTTATGGCTGAGTCTTGCATTAGAAGTGTTTTGCAGGTGTCTCTGTGAAGCATGGATATGGGATGGTGAAAGTGGCAGTGTGCGTAGAGTGTTTGGGATTAGATGGGCAGGTGGAAGGGTGTCTAGGTAGGAGCGCTTTGTGCTGGTGTGAGGTAATGAGGTTCTAGAATGTGCTGTCAAGGTGAAACTGAAAGGAAAGGTTAGACAGGAGACTTTGTAAAAGACAAAATTATGGTAGTTTGGTTCCAAATGGATGCAGGGGCTGGTAGATGGGTGTGGAAGAACGCAGAAAATCTTGCCAAGGACATTGCAAGTCTTGAATCAGACCAGGAAAATTAAGGTTCAGTTAACAGTTAAGTCCAGAGGGGGAGCTAGTTTTGGACAAAGTGTGGTGATAAGTTTGCTTTTCTATATGGTTCAGCTGATAGACATTAAGAAGCATTTAGGAAAATACAGGAAATAGAGAGGTGGGTGACTTAAGTCCTACTTCCTATCGTGTCTATGTGTATATAACAGAGGCCAAATGAATTCATGTGTTGGGGTCTGCTTTCCTATTTCTAATAGGAGTGGCATAAAATGAGTTCTAGCGGATTCTAAAGTCTCTGGTAGATAGTGATACTGAGTAAGCAGCTGCAAATCCAGGTCTCTAATTCAAGGGAGAGAGGTCAGGTCTGGAGAGAGAATTTTCAGAAGTGACTGATGCATAGTACATTTCTGTATTTTGGTAAATGTGTTGAAAAGATGATTACAGTTGAGCAGCTAACTGTTCCAGATACTATTCTAGGCATGAAGGGTTTTTCCTCACGCAGGTGTGCTGTGGCACTATAGCATACCTACTGCAACAGACTAGATATGTTTCCATACATTGTCTCATTTAACAAGCAGAAGAACTTCAGGAGTAGTTATTAACTAGTCCATTTTGCAGAACGTTACAGCTAAGATTCAGAGTTGAAGCATCAGGTCTATCTGATTTAAACCCAGGCCTATCTGATTTCAAAGTCTATTAACTTCATTATTTTATACCATAATCTGCCAGGGTGTGAATTGGGGATAAAAGAAAGTTAAACAAAACTCTTGGAAACAGAGAGGAAGGGCTTGAACCATTAAGATTAACCTCAGAAGTCAAGGATGAATCTTGGGCAGAAAACAAGTAGAGGGCAGGGTTCCGTCCTGATTTACAGAGGATGGATTTGTGACCTTTCTGATGTAATGCTAAGGCGTGCCATCCAAATGGGCACCTGTATGTAAGCCACTCTTTCACAGAAGTGGGATTTTCTTTTCTTTTTTAATTCCCATGCTGCTAGGAACAATTTAGATTTGAATGATTGGAAAGAGTATCACAGGGTAGGCAGGAAACCAAAGCTGTCAGCAACTGCTTGTCACTTGCTGGTTTTGCTTGGTATGAACTTGGTCAACAGTAGGGACTTACTTAGTCCTCAGTCTTTCTAGGTTACCTACCACTCTCTTGATCTTTGTTTCCATTTTGCTTTTTCTGGCCTGGAAGTGGAATTTGTAAGTGCCACACATTACCTTCCATCCCATGACCATACTGAAGCTGTAAATTATAGCTTTGCTCCTTCCTAATCCTTTTCTTTCCACACCAAATGTGTTTGAGCCTCAAACAAGGAAGTTGGAAATATTATTTAACTTTTTCTGTGTTTTAATTGGTCACGAATCTCTCCCCGTACACACACGTCCCCGACTTGAGGAGTCTTGAGCATTTCCTTAATGTTCTTGACAGCTGATCAAAGCAAGACATGTTGGGAGATCTCGACTGCAATTAATATTGTATTGTTTGCTTAAGAATTTGGAGAGAGTTATTGCTTCTTAGTAAGTGAAGATAAGCATCTTGAGGTTTATAAGGGAGGTTGAGGCTGACTTGGCCAGAGATCCAGATGTTCACATTATTTTATAATCATCCTTTTAAAAAAACAAAATAGACTGACATGGGCAACTTTCAAGATTTCATGTGGCACATTGCATGTAGGCATGAACCGTACCAACATTACTTTGCTTGGAGTGCTTCAGGATGCAGGAATAGGGAAGCCTAAGTAAACCCTCAAATCTTGGCAAGCTCAGGAGGAGGGAGCAGATAGCACTGCTGGGGTGGTCTGTGCTGCTTGAATGCTCCTGTGGAGAATCACTTCCTTGTAGATAGGCCACAGATTACAGTCTACCGAAAGCATGTCAACCCACATAGCTGGTTTCCACTAACATGGTTTTGCTCTGTGTCTTCTTCCTTTTCAAGTCCTCTTTTAAATGTGGAAACTTCTTCCTGCATTACACAGTTCTTTTCTCACTGTCTTCCTGCCTCCCTTCCTTTCACTATACATTAGCTATACTGAATTGGGCATATAATCCTTAGCTCAAGCATAGCTTTCTTTTAATAATTAAATAGCTAAACAATAGCATGATCATCTATGATGGTATCATCCAACTAGAGAACAACATTGTCCATATTTACCTCTGTGCATTTTCTCTACAGTCTGTATGCCTGTCTCTCTTACCTCTTTGTGCTGATTGTTCTATTGCCTTTTTTGTAGTTTTCATAGTTTTATTAGTGTGCTTATATTTATATGTCTATATATGTATGTATATGTGTTGTTTGTGTATATATGTGTAGCCTAAATATAGCACCGAAAAAATATTCTGTTTACTTTTAGTTATTTATGAACTTAATAAGAAGCAGCCTGGCAACAGACCAAACTGTCTCAAAAAAAAAAAAAAAAAGCTTATTATTCTGTATGTAGCAACATGGAGGTAGTTTATTTCACTCAGTAGTATGTTATTAATATCAAACTGAGTATACAGTTTGTTTTTCCTTGCTGCCTATTATTCTGTCACATAATTTGGGTTGTTTCTAAATTTTTGTTGTGAGCAACAGTCCCCATATGAATCTTCTTATCTATGTTTGCTGAAGCACCTGTGCAAGGCATCAACTAGTTCTAACAGGCTTGGTTTAAGGTTTAGTGGGAATATGCACGTGAAAAAGAACTGTAACAGCGTGCTCAGATGTGTGATTCAGAAGTGAAGCTAGAATGAAGATGATGTAGAGAAAGCAAGGAGACCAGATGAGAGATTGTTATAAAGCTAGGAGATGTTGGGAGTGATTGGAAATGGAGAGGAGCAAGTTAGATTTGAGGAAGATTGGGTGGATGGACATGCTGGGGCCTAGAGGTTAATGGCACATGCGGCTGAGAGAGAGAGACAGACAGACATTTTCCCCATGCTTTCCAGCTGAAGTGCCTAGGTAGATGGTGATAACTATTAAATGAGATAAAGAATAGATATCAGAGATAGGTATTGGAAGGGAAGCCAACCTTGGAGGGGATCAGTGTGAGTTGGGTGGTAGTTGGAAATGTTGAATTTTTGGAATGGTGAAGGATGTCCTTCACACCCTGTCAAGGAAGTGTAGGTTAGAAAAGTGGTCCTCAGGTGAGCTTTTGAGTCATGTTCTGCAGGCTGTTAACCTGTAAGATGTCACTCCATAGGAACACACAGGAATGGGCCCTGATGGGAGAAGGCTGATCTGGCTTATTGTGACCATAGTTTTTAAAAAAGGCACTCGATTGCACTGCTCCTGTGGATCACAGTAATATATGTGCTACCCTGCCTTTATGTGAAACAGAAAAATCTCCAAATTAAAGCAGACATCAGAGTCTTTTTCTGGAAAGTCATTTCAGGGAAGTTATAGACCAAAGCAGCTCAGAGATGGGAAGCCTCATTTGTCTCTTCCTTCTTTTGTCTCTCTGTTAGCTTCCTTGTAATCCTGATTCTGAATGTCTGATATTTCAGTCGCTTTATTCTTGTTAGGATCCTTTGCTGGGAGCTAGTGTGATTGTTTGGAGGTAAAAAGATGCTCTGGGCTTTAGAGTTGCCAGAGGTCTTACACTGGTTCTTTCTTATCTGTGAAGGTTGATATTTCTTTATCCTTTGAAGTTGCTGTACTTTGGATAGGCCTTTTTTTTTAATGATCTTTTTTGCCCTTGAGGATTTGACTGTGGTGTAAATTGGGTAAATGGCTTCATTTCCAGATGATTTTAAAAGGCAAAACTCAGCTCCAGACTCGTGGGTGGCATGCTCTAATCCAGGGGCACTGGGATCGGGTCAGTGGTTTTGTCCTCTGGTCTCTTGAGGCCAATCTCTGGCTGGGCTGGAGGGGTCAAGGGGGTCAAGGTGCTCCCAGACCAGTGTCAACAGCACTCTGTAGGAGATGACTAGGGGCCACAGGTATAGATGCTCTCATGGGGGCAGTGAGGACATCAGAGGTCGGAGGTGCTCTGGCATGGTATACTGCAGGTGAGGTACCTCCAGCAAGGGGTGCCATGGGCAGAGGATGCTTTGGTAGGGGGCACTCTGGTGGGAGACACTTCAGTCAAGAGGTGTTCCAGTGGGGGGCTCTGTGGGCAGGAAGTGGAGCACTAAACTTTCACTGAAAATAATTTGTATTCAGATGTTTTAAAATTTGAAGTGAAAAAAATAGATTTTCATGTTCTGATTGCTTCAAACATACTTAAAAATGTTCCAATAAATAAATCAGGTGTCAATTCTTTAAATAAAAATTAATAAATATATTAATTAGCTCCTCTTATACTAATCATATTTCAAAGTACACAAAACTCATGTGTTTAATGGTGCCATGTTTAATAACTTAGTTCTGGAAGCCAAATTCTTAATCCTCTATTTTATTATCATATTGATTAATCATCATCTGGCATAGAGAACCACGGACTATAGAAGTTCACTATCCTTGAACAAGAAGTGAAGTGGTTAGTATTAGATATTTGATTTAATTAGCTACTGTTGCATCTTTGAGATGAACATTTTCATATGTCAGATTACATTCTACAATGGTAAAATAGTCTTCACTTCATGGTGCGCGCGCGTGTGTGTGTGTGTGTATCTCCAGACATATTTCATATTGAGGCATAAAAAAGCAGATTAGACATTGTGTGTTTAAAGACAGCATTTAAAATAAAATAATGAAGTAATCAATTTTACACCATACCAAGTTCAGACTCTTCCGCAAATCCATAATAAACCAATGTGGAGAAGCTTTTCAAAAGTACGACCTAAATTTTGTTTCAACATATGAGAAAAGCAAATTTCTTCCAGACACTCAGAGGTTCTTTGAATTGAGGTAGAAGTACTATTTTCATCTGTATGATCATTCATTGTAAAGGCAAAATTTTGGAAAACAAGAGTGGGAGTGCGTTACAGAAGTGATCTGTAAGCTTGCAGTGTTCTCAATTGTTGGGCATGTTCCCATCTAATGCCTATAGGGTTCTCAATTGTTGGGCAATATAATATAATGAAAGTTTCATGGAGCAAGCAGAGAAGTGTCAAAATGGTCAATAAGAAGTTTCATAGCTCAACCTGTCAGAGCAAACATAAGTAGTATACTTTTACCTGTAAAACTACATGGCCAATGGATGTAAGACATACTGTGGCTCTCTTTGCCTTGAATTTAATGCATAAAAATTATCTCATGTTATTATCTCTTACCCTTTCTTTCCATTGAAACTGGCTGCATCTATATGTATATTTACACTTGATGATCATCACTTGCTCTTTATGTTTGCACTCTAAACATTTAGTCATTATTCATCTGAGAATGTGTCTTCCATTCTCAGATGCACATTTGTTTTTCATATTCCAATTCAATGTTTGTACAACAGGGATTCAATTAAAAGTTGATATGTTCATTTAATACAATATTTATTTTTCCTTAAAATACATAACTAAATTTATGGTGCATTTGAAATAAATTGACTCAGGATCAATACAGTGATAAAGAATGGTAAAACCATCATATACTCAGAACTATGAATTGCTCTATAAAGATAAATCAGAGTTTATGCATGGACTTTTTATGTAGGCATTTGATAATCCAGTTTCTGTGTTAAATAAATTAAAAAACATATGTTTAAGTTATTTTCTGTCAAGTATCTGCACAAAGTTCACTAGAAGAGATACTTAAATTATTTCCTCTCAATGACATACTAGTTTACAAACTGAAAAATGTGTAATTAAGGACCTTTCTGTATTTTTTAATAGCAAAACTCTGAAAATGTGGGCTAGATTTTGAAATTTGGGTAGAATTTGGACAAACAGAAGATTTTATGAAAAAGGTAACATGAGCAAACTTTCAAAGATGTTGTAGTGAGCATACAGAGTGACATTGTTTGGCTCTGTGTCCCCACCCAAATCTCATCTGGAATTGTAATCCCCACGTGTCAAGGGAGAAAATTGATTAATCATAGGGATGCTTCCCTCATGCTGTTCTCATGATAGTGAGTTCTCATGAGATCTAATGGTTTTATAAAAGGCAGATACCCCCTGCACTCTTCTCTCTTCCTTGCCGCCATGTAATACTTGCCTGCTTCCCTTTCTGCCATGATTGTAAGTTTCCTGAGTCCTCCCCAGCCATGTGGAACTGTAAGTCAATTAAACCTCTTTTCTTTATAAATTATCCTGTCTCAGGCAGTTCTTTACAGCAGTGTGAGAATGGATGAATACACAGAATTTAAAAGGTATTGCCAAAGGCTAGAAATATACTCTTTTACATCCCTAAGTAATGAGTGATATAAATAAAAGATGCAAAGTCTCAGTTTTCCCATTTGCTGAATTGTATTAATGCTGCCTAACATCATTTGGAAGAATTAATAGAGGTAGTGGACACAGAAGTGTGCGATATAGTGAAGGTAGGCAACAAAGGTTAATTTTTATCTCTGGAGAAGAAGCAGTAAGAGGAAAAATAAGGGTGACAGGATTGTTTCCCACAGCAACAGGTAGAAAATAATTTTACACATTTAGCATATTGGAAGTGTTGTATGATATTGAAAGTCCAGAAAAAGTAGAATTTATTCACAATATTAGAAACAGTGCCAGATGCTACTGTCATAAATTTTAATACATTATAAAAGTAATTAGCACAAGTCAGGAATCAACACATTAGATAAAAGAAAGTTTTAATAAAAAGAAAAATATTTGACTCCAAAAACATAATTTACATTAAAAACTGAGAAAGTCACCTTCTTAAATGTGTACTTATGTAAAATTTATCAAGCATAAATTAATCAAATAAGTAAAATGGTATAAAATTGTGTGGATTCTCCCCCAACCCTGGAAGCTTCATCACTGGCATTTCCCTGTTCTTAGAATTCTGAGAGGTCCCTGGCCCTGAACCCATCACTCCTGCTTTATTGTTCACCTCCCCAATAGTCCTGTTTCCACACCATGCCACCATGCCATAGAGTTTCTTTTCAAAGCTGAAGGCAATGGGAATTCACAAGCACTGTCCTTGTTAGACTCATATACCTATGGAAAGTCTCTCATTCAGTGCATAGTGCCTTCATTACCTAAGTACTCCAGATCTAGCAGTGTTTATACAGCTGAAGGAATAGCAGCATTTATTCATTCCCCATGTGACAGAGAGTCCGATTTTGAAGGTTCCTCTGTCCCTATTTTGAAATTCTTTTTTCTAGCTGGAGAAATAGGCTCAGTCTTTCTTTCTTTTTTCACAGGGCCTCCTATCTCAAAACGGCGTCTTATCACCTGACATTCCACTTATGTAGTTTGGTTAAAATTTTTTTTTCATGCTATCTCTCCCCAACTCCCCACCCCTACTGTCCCTCCCCTATTTCCCCCTGACAGACCCCAGTGTGTGATGCTCCCCTCCCTGTGTCCATGTGTTCTCATTGTTCAACACCCACCTATGAGTGAGAACATGCGGTGTTTGATTTTTTGTTCTTGTGTCAGTTTGCTGAGAATGATGGTTTCCAGGTTCATCCATGTCCCTACAAAGGACACAAACTCATCGTTTTTTATGGCTGCATAGTATTCCATGGTGTATATGTGCCACATTTTCCCTGTCCAGTCTATGATCGATGGGCATTTGGGTTGGTTCCAGATCTTTACTGTTGTAAACAGTGCTGCAATGAACATTCGTGTGCATGTGTCCTTATAGTAGAACAATTTATAATCCTTTGGATATATACCTAGTAATGGGATTGCTGGGTCAAATGGAATTTCTGTTTCTAGGGAGAGATAGCATGTGGAGAAATTCCAGATATAGGTGAGGTGGGGGGAAGGCAGCAGATCACACTGCTATGTGTGTACCTATGCAACAATCTTGCATGTTCTTCACATGTACCCCAAAACCTAAAATGCAATAAAAAAAAGAGATGAAAAAAAATTTTTTTCAATAGTTTTTGAAGAACAAGTGGCGCTTGGTTACATGAATAAGTTCTTTGGTGATGATTTGTGAGATTTTGGTGCACCCAGTACCCAAGCAGCACACACTATAATTAATGTAGAGTCTTTCATCCTTCATCCACCTCCCATCCTTTCACCCAAGTCTCCAAGGTCCATTGTATCATTCTTGTGCCTTTATGTTCTTATAGCATAGTTCTCACTTATGAGTGAGAACATATGATGTTTGTTTTTCCATTCCTGTTACTTCACTTAGAGTAATGGTCTCTAATTCCGTACAGGTTGCTGAAAATGCCATTGTTTCATTCCTTTTTATGACTGAGTAGTATTCTATGCTGTGTGTGTGTGTGAGTGTGAGTGTGAGAGAGTGTGTGTGTGTATGTGTATATCACACTTTCTTTATTCACTCATTGATTGATGGGCATTTGGGCTGGTTCCATACTTTTGCAGTTGTGAATTGTGCTGCTATAAACATGCATGTGCAAGTATCTTTTTGTTATAATTACTTCTTTTCCTCTGGGTAGATACCCAGGAGTGAGATTGCTGGATCAAATGGCAGATCTAATTTTAGTTCGTTTGAGAAATTTCCACACTGTTTTTCACAGTGATTGTATTAGTTTACATTCCTACAATTTAAAAGTGTTCTGTTTTTAACCACATGTACTCCAACATCTATTATTTTTTTTTTTTGATTTTTGATTTTTTGATCATGGCCATTCTTGCAAGAGTAAGGCAGTATTGCATTGTGGTTTTGATTTACATTTTTCTGATAATTAGTGATGTTGAGCATTTTGTTATATGTTTGTTGGCCATTTGTATATCTTCTTTTGAGAATTGTCTATTCATGTCCTTAGCCCACTTTTTCATAGGATTGTTTTTTTCTTCCTGATTTGTTTGAGTTCCTTGTAGATTCTGGATATTAGACCTTTGTTAGAAGTGTAGATTTTGAAGATTTTCTCCGACTCTCTGGGTTGTCTGTTTACGCTGCTGATTATTTATTTTGATGTGCAGAAGCTTTTTGGTTTAATTAAGTCCCATCTATTTGTCTTTGTTTTTGTTGCATTTGTTATTGGGTTCTTGGTTATAAAATCTTTGCCTAAGCCAATGTCCAGAAAGGTTTTTCAGTGTTATCTTCCAGAATTTTTATGGTTTCAGGTCTTAGATTTAAGTCTCTGATGCATCTTGAGTTGACTTTTGTGTAAGGTGAGAGATGAGGATTCAGTTTCATTCTCCTATATCTGGCTTGCGAATTATCCCAGCACCATCTGTATTAAACCCACAACCAACGTCATATGGAATGGGGAAAAGTTGAAAGCATTCCCCATGAGATCTGGAACAAGACAAGGATGCCCACTTTCACTATTTCTATTCAACATAGAACAATCAGACAACAGAAAGAAATAAAGGACATCCAAATTAGTAAAGAGGAAGTTAAACTGTTGTTGTTTGCTGATGATATATTTGTATACCTAGAAAACCCTAAAGACTTATCCAAAAGGCTCATAGAGCTAATAAATGAATTCAGCAAAGTTTCAGGTTACAAAATTAATACATGAATAAGTTCTTTAGTGGTGATTTCTACACAAATCTGGAGCTCAGCAAATATCCCCAGAACAAGTACAAGCTATATGCAGTTTGGGTCCTCCCTACACCAAGCAAAAGCTTTTGTTGTTTTTTGGGGATAGCTGGGTTTTGCAGAATATGGGTACCAAATTTCAGAATCACAGTAAAGCCTCTGTATGAAGCAACAGGGGGGTGGAAAATGAACTAATGGAATGGACCCTGGAAATGAGACACCGTCACCAAGCTAAAAAGAGGCTCCCACTCTTGGAATCCCAGGCATAAGTAAGCCCCTCCCTTTGTATGTGGCAGAAAAAAAAAAGGGCATAGCTATGGGAGTGCTAACCCAGAAATTAGGATCAGAACCCAGACAAACTGCCTACTTTTCAAACAAGTAGGACAGAGTGGCCTTGGATGACCAAGTTGCCTGTGGGCAATAGCACCCACTGCTATGTTAGTGAAGGAAGCAACTAGAATCACCCTGGGTCAACCACTGGAAGTTCCAACTTCCCATCAGGTGAAGTCAGTCTTTGAAATAAAAGGACACATCTGGATGATGGGGGAATGGCTAACAAAATACCAGGCTGTACTCCTAGACAATCCAGATGTAACCCTTAAAACCTGTAATCACTTGAATCCAGCTTCATTGCTGCCCACAGGCCCAATAACTGATCATTCCCATGACAGGCTATTACATACACATATCTGAGCTGGCCTGATTTAAAAGATCAGCCTCTCCCAGATTCTAAGGATAACTAGTTTTCAGATGGCAGTAGTTTTGTGTCAAATGGGAAACGCCAAACTGGATACAGTTAGTGCCCCCTGGCACATCAGCACAAAAGGCCAAAATCTTACTTGAGCATTAATATTGGGACAAGGAAAAAAGCCTAACATTTATAGAAGTTCTAAATATGCATTCCTTGTGGTTCATGCTCATGCTTCAATCTGAAAAGAAAGAAGACTGCTAACTAGCAAACACTCCCCTATAAAGCATGGGACTGAAATTCTTCAGCGATTGGAAGGAATATTCCTGCCAAAAGCTGTAGCTATAATTTTAAGAGAGTATCAGAGAGACTTAGTGGCTATAGCACAGGGGAACAGAAAGGCTGATAGAGAAGCCAAAGCCCTTAGGGTGCTATGTATCCCAATACGTAGATCCTAGCACCACTTCCTTTCTATGATTCTCCGATAGAGCCTGAGTACACACGAAGAACGGTTAATAAAGGAGAAAGAAGACAAAAACAAGGATCCTGGTGGCATATGACATCAAAATTATATCTCCGTCAACCAACCCAATGAAGAATTATAAAAACCCTGCTTAACTCTTTATGTATAAGGAGGGAGTCCACCCTGGCCATGGTTAACAGTCCCTTCATTGGGCCTAACTTGGCTTCGGTGGTTAAGCAGGTCTGTCAAGCCCACTCACTGTGTGCACTTAAAAACTCAGGAAACAGCGAGGCATGGTGGCTCACACCTGTAATCCCAGCACTTTGGTAGGCTGAGGTGGGCAGATCATGAGGTCAGGAGTTTGAGACCATCCTGGCCAGCATGGTGAAACCCTGTCTCTGCTAAAAATACCAAAAAAAAAAAAAAAAAAAAAAAAAAAAAATTAGCTGAGCGTGGTGGCATGTACCTATAATCCCAGCTACTTGGGAGGCTAAGGCAGGAGAATCACTTGAACCAGGGAGTTGGAGGTTGCCGGGCGTGGAGATCGCGCCATTGCACTCCAGCCTGGCAACAGAGCAAGACTCTGTCTCAAAAAAAAAAAAAAAAGAAAAAAATCCCTCAGGAAACAAAATGCCTCCTGTAATTGAACAAGGCCAGAGGAGAGAAATTTAGCCAGGGAAGCTGGCACTTAGACTTCACCACTGTGCTATGCTGGTTTGTAGAGGATGCAAATTTTTGTTAGTGCTAATAGATACCTTTACTGGTTAGGTTGAAGCTTACCGTACCAGAACAGAGAAGAATAATGAGGCTATAAAGATTATCTTAAAAGAAATAATCGTCTGGTTTGGTTTACCTCAAAGCCTCCAAAGTGATAATGGGTCAACCTTTATCTCCCAAATAACCCAAAGGGTTGCTAAGGCTCTTGATCAAACACGTTTACATTCAACATAGAGGTCTCGATCCTTTAGAAAAGTAGAAAGGGCTAACCAAACTTTAAAATGGGCATTACCTAAGCTATGTCAGGAAACATCAGAAACTTGAGTCAGCTTACTGCTCATAGCCCTCTGAAGGATCTGTAATAGCCCTAGAGCAAAAACTAATATAAGCTCATATGAAATGTTATATGTAAGGCTATTTTTAACTAATGATCTAATTACTGATCCAAGAAGCATCCGGTTTAGTAAAATACCTAGTTAATCTGGGATAATTTCAGCAAGTTTTAAAAAACCTTGGAACTTAAGACTTCCCACACTGGGAACTAACTAGCAACCTCCAAATTAGGCCAGGAGATAAGGTGCTCATTAAAACATGGAAGGGGGGATCACCTCAACAATTACAACCCCAGTGGAAGGAACTGTTTTCAGTTACACTGGCGATGACTTCAGCAGCCAGAGTACTAGTATTAGGTAGTTGGCTACATTTTCAAGGGTCAGATCTGCAATACCAAAGTCCTGGACCTGGAACCTGAAGTGCCCATCAGCCACTATACCTGTGAACCTGTAAGACACCGAAGTACCTGTTTAAAAGACAGCCAAAAGATAAATAAATGTCTACCAACTTTTCTTGGTGTCTTTGTTGCATAGTTACTGTAGGTTGGATAATAGTAGCCATTTTTATATTTTTGTAGTTTAATTGCCTTCTTCCAAACAGATGGAATCACTCCCTTAGCAATAATTAAGCAAGGTGTTTAAATTCATTTCCATAACAATCATTCCTAACAGTAATAGCTATCCACCCCCTGAAGTTCCCATTCTATAGAAAAAAATAACAAGTATTTTTGGTTCCATAATGGTCACCCATACCCTGTGTATACTGGGACCATGCCCACTGGGAATTAGTCTTATTTTACAACAGAACCATACCCCTCCAGCAATTAATAGGTTCTGAGTATTTATTAAGAACTTTAACACAAAGACTGTTAAATACCACCAGTCCAACTTTGGCAAAGGACTGTTAGCTTTACTTAGCTCCATTATCACCCAAATACACTGCCATCCCAGTCCCAGCCCAATCTTGGACCCTTTGAAAAATGACCTATCACCCTAACTACCAGCGAGAAACTTCTTCAGATTAATGAACTTGGGTGACTTATACGACTTCAAAATTTCAGAAATGACAAGGGGTACAATGACAGGATGAACAGTAAACCTTCTTCAGTCCTATTAGAGCAATCTTTCTGGTGCGCATCCCCACAGAAACCCGTCTGGGGCTCAATATCAATGCACATAGAGCTAAAATTCCAAGCACCACTTTGTATAAAGAAAAGCCAACATTTTGGTCAGGCCTGGGCACCTTGAAAAGTCATCATTGTAACTACACCCAAGAGATTAGCCTCTCACAGGATCATGTAAGCTACACAGTTACCCAGACCACGTAATTTAGAATATCTATAAGGTCTTCATGGAAACCATCCCTAGTTAAGGGCAGTTAAAAGAATATGCAGTCTAAGAGGGTGAGCAAGAATAAACAGAGCTTTTCCAAGATGAACAGTCATACATCTAACCTTTATAGAACACATTCGTTTCAGTACAGGTGTTATTCTTAGCACTAAATAAATTATTTAGAGCTGAAAGGGACCAAGCATTGTGGCTCATACCTGTAATTCCAGCATCCTGGGAGGATAAGGTGGGAGGATCACTTGAGGCCAGGAGTTTGAGAAAAGCCTGGGCAACACTGTGCAACCCCTCTGTGTGGATAAAAATAAAAGAATTTTTTAAGTTGAAAAAATTTATAAGCAAATAAAAATTTTATGCTACGTTGCAAACTTTGGGTCTTCTTGTTGGAGAAAGCGCTGGCACTAGCTTTAGAGAAATACATGTGCAATGGAGAGCCTGACTCAAAACTCAACATGAGCTAGATCATGGAAGCCTCAAACTTAAAACTTCCTGTGTTTGACCTGCTGGAGAGAATAAAAACTGGAGCAGTGTCTGCATACCCTGAGAGCTACTTTCAAACCAGGAAACCGTCCATCATGGTTTCTGTTCCATCGACCTGTGTGTTTTAGAGATGGCCAGGATAGATCAGTGAGTGTGTCCTTTTGAGTTTCTGCCACTGCAGCAATGTTTGTTTTATACTAGACTTTTATCCCTTCAAACTTATTTTTTATTTGTATTTCACCTTACTTTATATGCTTACATATGAAATAACCATAGTGATAGCATTAGTTTAAAGGTCTGTGTGTGTGCTTTTTTCTTTTCTTTTTTTTTTTTTTTTTACAGATAACAATAAAGTTTGCCTCATGATATAATAAAGTTTGCCTCATGATATTGATACAATTATTTGGTCCAGGTCAATTCCAAATAATTAAAATATGCAACTGAATCCTAATCAGTCTAAAACTGGGAAAATATTTATAATGCATGAAATAGCTCTAAAATCAAGGGGTATCTAAGGAGGCTGGGAAGATTGGGTAAGTTTAGGTTTATATGTGTCTCAATTATTTCTATACCATATTAAAAACAAGTTCTGTTAGTTTGGCCAGGAATATGAAGAAAAAGAAAAGAGGAAGAGCAGAGAAGAGGAGGGCAGAGGAGAGGAGAGGGAGAGGGAGAGGAGACAGGGAGGGAAAGGGAGAGGAAGAGGGAAGAGGAGTGGAGGGAAGGGAGAGGAGATGCCTAGACAATCTTCAGTTCCTGAAAATGTTTCCATTCTGGAGTAAGGTCAATAGGAGCAACATTTATAGAAAAACACTGGTGAGAATGCTTTCCCAAATGGTTCCAGATTTATTTCAAAATAATTTGTGAAGCAAAGACAATAAAAATGAAATGTCTAAGTAATTTAGAACTTCTTTTTTGCACATTTTGTTGAATAAAGAAGAATTTTAGTTTTCAAGT